GTAAAACTGCTGGATTGGTGGATCCTTAAGTCTGTTGTTGCTTGTGTAAGTGCCGTCGGTTTCAACTCATAGGGTTTCTGCGGAGCGACTGGTGGATTTGGATCGCTAACCTTGTGGTTAGCAGTCCAGTGCTTCTCCATAAGCACCGGAGGTGTTTATATTCAGAAACATGATTATTTGATAAATGCTGGCCATTTTGAGTTGGTGATTTTTCTGCAAATTAAGAAAACCAGCGTTTAAATGCTGAAATTCGTTTTCTGTTGGAGTCCTACCATGGATTCCAAAATGTCTGCAAAAAGTGATTTCACAGTAGACTCAAACGCAGAGGAGCTTCCCAGTTGCCGGCTGTTTCCTGAAAACAGAAGAAAATGAAGACGACATAGATACCACTGACCTTCGATGACATGGCTGTGGAGTTCACCCAGGAGGAGTGGCAGCTCCTGGCCCCTGCTCAGAAGGCCCTGTACCGGGACGTGATGCTGGAGAACTACAGCCACCTGGTGTCCCTGGGGTGTCCAGTTAGCAAACCAGAGGTGCTCTCCAGATTGGAGAAGGGTGAACCACCATACAGTTTAGAAGAAAGAATTCATAGTCATATTTTTTCAGACATCCAGAAAGTTAGTGATCATCTGCTGGTGGACATGCCAGAGGAAAGGAGCATGAATATTATGGAATAATGGCATGATGACAATGGAACTGAAGATATTGTTCATCGAGATAAAAGCCATTTTGCTAAAAGGCAAAATCATAATACATTTGAATTACGTGGAAAAACTATGAAATAAATTTTAACATTAATCAGTCAGAGAAGACGATATGAAATAAAGAACGCTGTTCAGTTTAATAGAAATCAGGAAATCTTTCCCTATGCTAACTCTGAGCAGTTTCCTACTGAATTTAAATCCCCTGATTGTCAGAACTCCAACAACACAAAGTCCCGACTCATGAAGCACCAGGAAAGTCTCCAGGCAGAGAATGCGCATGTGTGTAGTGAATGTGGGAAAGCCTTCTTCTGGAAGTCTGTGCTCATGAGCCTTCAGATGCTGCACACAGGAGAGAAACCCCATCGATGCAGTCTGTGTGGGAAAGCTTTCTCCAAAAAGTACTTGCTCATGGAGCATCAGAAAGCGCACACTGTAGATAAACCTTATAAAAGCATAGAATATGGCAAAGAGTTTGCCATGAAATCCAAGCTCAACATGCATCAGAAAATATATAGAGAAACCCCATCACTGCGGTCTGTGTGGGAAAGCCTTCTCCAGGAAGCACATGCTAACTAACCACCAGAAAGCTCACACAGGAGAAAAACCTTATGAATGCTGAGAATGTGGGAAATTGTTTATTATAAAAGCAGGGCTTAATATGCACCAAAAAACCCACACGGGAGAGAAGCCCTGTGCATGCAGTTAGTGTGGAAAATGCTTCAGCCGCGAGTTAAGTCTTATTGCCCATCAGCGTATTCACAGACAGTTGTCCTATGAAGATACCAACTGTGACAGAGTCCTTAAGACGTCATGCCTCAATACACATGAGAACACATAAAACAGAGAGAGATTTTCAATGCAGTGAGTGTGGGAAAGTCTTCCATCGAAAGAAACAACTAAATTTACATGAACGAATCCACGCAAGAGACCTTATGTCTGCAATGTGTGTGGGAAGAAGTTTGCCTCCATGCTTGATCGTTTTAACCATAAATTGATGCACACAGGAGAGAAACGTGTAGATCCTGGCAAGGTGAGGCACAGCTCCTCAAATACCAGCGACCTCATACAGGAAAGAAACTCTGTTAATTCAGTGACCGTGCAGATTCCTTCTGTGGCATCCCAGTCTTCCTTAAGCAACAGTGAACTCCTAACAAATAAATGCATTGTCTTTGTGGGACAACCTGTTGGCAGATGTGAGTCCTTGGGAAGTAACAGAGATTTTGTACAGGACAGAAACTTCATTAACCCAGTGAATGTGGTAGCACCTGCAGTAATCAATTACGTCTTACTGTATGTTCCAGAAAACGTTACTCTCCAGTTAATCTAGTCAAAGAGTGACTAATCCACATGAGATGAAACAGACATAGAGTAATTGCTATCAATGGTTTACTTATATTTTTAGGAGTTGTTAAGTGCTGTCGACTCGGTTCCAACTAATAACAATTGTGTATAGGGTTTCTGAGGAGGGGTTGGTAGGTTTGAACTACTGACCCTGTGGTTAGCAGTTCAGTGCTTATCTTGCAGCAACACCAAATCAGGACCCCCTTTAGGAGTCATCGCCGTTGTTAAGTGCTATTGGGCTGATTCCAACTCATAGCAACCCACAGTATAGGGTTTCCAAGGAGCAGCTGGTGAGTTTGAACCGCCGGCCTTGTGTGTGATTCATCTGGGTTTTGCAGTCTTATCCTACAGTGTACTTATCCTACAGTGAGTGCCACACCATAATTTCTTCTGGAAAAACCAGTTGTCATCAGATTGATTCCAGTTAATTGTGATCTCATGTATGTCATGTTAGAACTGTGCTCCAAAGGTTTTCAGTGGCTAATTTTTTGAAGTGCTTTGTTAAACACATTTTGTTTGAGGTATCTGTTGTTGTTGTTGAGTTCCATCGAGTTGATTCCGACCCATAGCGACCCTGTGTAGGGTTTCCAAGGAGCAACTGGTGAGCTTCAACCACTGACCTTGCAGTTCAAACAACTTTGCAGTCTGACTCATTAGCCCACAGTGCCACCCCAGGACTCAAACCTCCAACCTTTTGATGAAAGTAGTTCCAATGTTTATCCCACCAGTGGGCTCCTGGGATCAGCACTCCTTTTAATGGTACTTAAACATCATAGGGAAAAAAAAAGTGACTTCACTTTTTGTCTCACGACAATTAAACTATATGTTTATGTTGTTGTTGTTGTTATGAAGTGCTAATGAGTCGGTTCCAAACCATAACGACCCTGTATAGGGTTTCCAAGGAGCGGCTGTTGAGCTTGAACTGCTAAACTTGCAGTCCAGCGCATTAACCCACAGCACCACACCAGAATTCCTCTATGTTTTTTACAGAAATCATTTAAATGCAAACAATAATGACATAACACCAGGTTAGCATGCACTAACAAACACATAGGATAATTTCATGTTTGATGCCAATAAGTTTGGACAAAATTATTTGAATTATCTGAAATAAACAACTTGTTCTTGTAGTTAAGCGCCGTCGAGTGAATTTCAACTCACAGAGACTCTATACAGAGTTTCTGAGGAACAGCTGGTGAGTTTCGACTGCCAACCTTGTAGTTCGAAGTCCAGTGCTAACCTTACAGTGTCACATCAGTTTAAAAAGGACAAGTACTGGAAAAAGGAGCCCCGATAGCACAGCAGGATAGGTGTTGAACTGCTAACCCAACAGTTCAAACCCACCAGGTCAGCAGTTCAAATCTACCAGCTACTGTGCAGAGGAAAGAGAAGCCTTTAAGCTACTGTAATGATTTATAAAACAGCCTCGGAAACACTATGCCACGACATTGAGTCAGAATCTATTCAATGGCCCTGAGCCTGGTTTGGGTTTGAATGCTGGAAAAGAGGCTGTTGGAGTTATGAAATTAGTATAAAGCCTCATTTAAGGCTCTAGAGCACTTGCATATTTAATTCAGATAGATTTAAACTATGCAGGCTTATATTCTTATAAAAATCATTTTCTGCATTCAATAAAATGCATATTTTCTTTGATCTTTACAATTAAATTCTTCAAAGTTCCTTGTAGGTTAGATGTGTACTGAGCGTGAATCAGGACAGGTTAATCAGTTTGCCAAAGCTCATAAAATAAATCAGTGCTGGATCTCTGGAAGGATTGAATTCAGTATGGAGGAATTATATAGTCGGACACATATTGAAGGAGATTTGGGAATTTTCTTGATTTCTTTAAAAATAAGTCTTTTCTCTCCTACATGTCTTATGAACCCTGTCCAGCTCTCCAATCTGATTAATCTGTACGTTTAAAAGAAGGGTACTCTAAATCTTACACAATAGTGAACCTAGTTAATCCCATTGAATTACTCGATTTTTCTGGTGCTACCACAGATAATAAGGAGCTCTAGTAGCGTAGTGGTTACCAATACGAACAGCTGGTAGTGGGCTGCTAACCCCAACTACCAGCTGTTCGGCCGGAGAAAGTTGAGGCTTTCTGCTTCCGTAAAGATTTACAGCCTCGGAAACCCTGTACAGGGTCGCTATGAGTCGGAACCGACGGTACACCACCATCCCAGATAATCGCTCACCTCCGTCTGATTTCTTCCTCACGTCTTTGAGTCTTGTCAGCTCACCAGGGCATTATTTGAGTACTCAAGAAAAAATTGAATTACTAGTATTATTTATTATCAAGTAATCAAAAGTAAACTACCCAGGATGACGATGCTGCCAATCATTAAAGCACTGTACAATTCCACAACTTTCGGGATCGAGGGCTGGGCATTTTGAGCTCATTAAAGGCCATCATTGGCAAGGGTCTTTCACTAGTCTCCTAATCTTCTCTGATTGAATTCGTGTGGCAGTTTTCTTAAAACTTGAGGGAGTAGTTAGGAAAAGCACAAAACGAAAGGTTGGCTGAATCGATTTCCCGTGCTGGTTTAAATTAAAACCAATCCAAAGTTTATTGAGTGGTTACTAAGTGCGCTCCCTTCTTAGAGAAACACAGCCTCTTGCAAACTCAGTTGGGAACTATCAGGGGGCTCGGTGACAGAGACGCCACCTAGGGATGAAGAGCCTTCCCTGCCGGCTCACTGGTAGTCTGCACCGCTGCCTACCATACCCGTCACTATGGCCCGCTCTGGTTGCGTAGTGGTTACGAATCGGGCTGCTAATCTCAATGTAGCAGTTGGAAACTACCAGCTGTTCCGCAGGAGAAAGATAAGGCTTTCTGCTCCCGTAAAGATTTACAGCCTCGCAAACGCTGTGAGTCGGAAGCGACTCCACCGCACACACAACAGCAACACCGGCCCGCTCAAGTCGACCGCGCCTCCGCGGGAAGGATACGCTCCAGGTAGTAGGCTCCTTCGGCGGCCACCGCCTCCGCAATATCCTCAGCTGCTGTCAAGCCCATGCCCAACGCTTCTTCCAGAACCCGCAGGGACGAGTTGGGCATCCCTTGGTGCCCGGCCATCGCCGCAGGTCCGAGCTCTTGCTCTAGCAGGTCACCGCCGTCCCTAAGGGCAACCGGGAAGACGCTTCCCACGAGACGTACATCTCGCGAGAGCTTAGCGCTCCCCCCCCCCCCACACACACACCCCCACCTCCATCCCTCCAGGCACTGAAAGGTTGACGGGAATGTGAACTGCTGTCCTTTGCACTTCACTGGTTACCAAGGCAACGTTATTGCCAAGGGCTTGGGATGCAACTCCTAAAGAGGACAAGTAAAAGAAGCAAGGAACAGGAGGCTTGGGTTACATCTTACCACTGCAACTTAGTTTTCTTTTAGTTTTGACCCAATCACACCTTTCTGTATTTTAATTTTCTTTCGTAAATTGCCTAGCTCTAGCTTTTTCTGTGTCCATCGACATTCCCCAGATTTTAAATGTTTATAGATCCCCACTAGTCCGAGGGAAAAAGAATACAAATGAGGAAGATCCTCAGTGCCTAGAGAGGAAAGAAAGAAAGAAAAAGTTATAGAAATCATAGACTTTTCCTAGAAGTTACAACTTTGAGATTGACCCAAGAAAGCTACAACTGTCTTCCTAGATGCTCATCAGTAAGTTAGGCACCTAAGTTACTTCTATTCCTTCTTGTTTTCCTTTAGTGCACGTTGTCTACTTAAGTATAGTTTATACTCTGGGGCTTGGTATAGTATTTGTAGCATTGGTTCTTGCCAGGGAAAAGTCACTTTCATAAGAATTAGGACCCTCACACAACCCTAATGTAATGGATAATAGATATTTGCCCAATCATGTAGTCCTTTTGATATAATAGAAACTTCAGGTTTTTATTTTGTATGTATTAGAAGCAACTGAGAGACCCGTTTCTTTGCAGATTGTGTTTTTCCACATGCCAACATAACTTATAAAAAAAATTTCCTTTTATAACCAAAAAAAATAGTAGTGGCTTTTTTATTATTATTATTGTGATAAAAGACATGTATAACAGATCATGTGGCAATTTAACAATTTTTACATAGATAATTCAGTAACATTGATTGCACTCATCAGTTGTTGTTGTTGTTAGGCGCCATCGAGTTGGTACTGACTCATAGCAACCTTATACAGTGCCCGATCCTGGTCCACATCAGCACTCCTACTTGGAATCAATTCTGCAGCTCACATCTAATCTTGAGACTTGACTGTTGTAAAAGACAAATACAAAACAATTGAATTTAATAGATAAAATAACTAATATTTCACTGTAGGATCAGCACTGGGCTGCTAACCACAAGGTTGGCAGTATGGATCCACCAGCTGCTCCTTGGAAATCCTGTACAGGATCGATATGAGTCAGAATTGATTCCAAGTAGGAATGCTGATGTGGTGCTATGGGATAAAGCACTGGACCACGAGGTCAGTTAAACCACAAGTTTAGCAGTTCAAAGCCACAAGCCACTCCTTGGAAACACTGTACAGGTTCACTATGAATCAGAACCTACTTGACAGTACTTAACAATAACAATAACACAGAAGTACAGTGGTGGCAGCAACAGTGGACTCAAACAAGACAACAATAGTGTTTATGGTGTAGGACCAGGCAGTATTGCATTCTGTTCTGCACAGGGTCACTATGAATTGGAACCAGCTCCATGGCACCTAACAACAACAGGCTTGAAGAAAAAGTCAATTCTCTGGGGGCAGTAATGAAGGATTCAATGGGCATAATAATGAATGAAGAAGAAGATGGAGGGAATATACAGAGTCACTAGGCCAAAAATATTTAGTCAACAAATAGGATATGCCCAAGAACCAATGATAGGAAAGGAAGTTCATGCTGCACTGAAGACATTGGCAAAAAGGAAGACTCCAGGAACTGGTGAAATACCAACTGAGATATTTCAACAAACACATGCAACCCTGAGAGCACTCACTTATCTATTACAAGAAATGTAGAAAACAGCAACTTAGCCAACAGACTAGAAAAGATCAGTATATGTGTGCATTCATTAACAACCCACAATACGCAGATGATGCAACCTTGCTTGCTGAAAGCCAAGAGGACTTAAAACACTTATTGATGAAGCTCAAAGGCCACAACTTTCAATATGGGTTATATCTCGGAAACCCTATACAGGGTCGCTATGGGTCGGAATCGACTCGATGGCACATAACAACAACAACAAATATATCTCAATATAAGAAAGCAAAAATGCTCGGTGCTGGACCAATAAATGACATCATAATAAATGGAGAAAAGATTGAAGTTGTCAAAGACTTCACTTTGCTTGAATTCACTGTCAACACTCATGAAAGCAGCAGTTAAGAAATCAAATGAAGTATCTCATTAGGCAAATCTGCTGCACAAGACCTCTTTAAAGTGTTTAAGAGCAAAGATGTCAGTTTAAAGACTAAGGTGCACCTGACCTAAGCCTTGGTATTTTGGTAGCCTCATATGTACATGAAAGTTGGACAATGAATAAGGAAGACAATAGAAGAATTAATGCATTTGAGTTATGGTGTTCGAGAAGAATATTAAAGACACTATGGACTGATAGAAGAACAAACAAATCTGTATTGGTTGACGTATAACCGGAATGCTCCTTAGAGGCCAAGATGGCCAGCCTTCATCTCTCATACTTTGGACATGTTGTCAGGAGGGTAACAGTCCCTGGAGAAGGACACCAAGCTTGGTAAAGTGGAGGGACAGATAGAAACAGGGAGACCCCCCAACAAGACAGATTGGAATAGTGGCAATAACAATGGGCTCAAGCATAGCAGCAATTGTGAGGAGGAGGCAGGACTGGGCGGGGTTTCATTCTATTGTACATAGGGTCACTATGAGTTGGTACCAACTCAACGGCACTTAACAGCAGCAATGTGCATTGGCAACATTTGAATGGAGATACAGTTGCTTTAGGAAAAACATATAACCCTTAAGGTTAAAAGAGAATTGACAGATAAATATGTAACATTTTACCTATTGATATTATTCATTTGGAATAAAAGCCTTGTAGGCATATAAGACTCTTAACCAAAACATAAACTTCATTATCACTACTAAAGTTGACAAGGCCACCACATTGTTTGTGTAAGAGATCTAGAAACAATCTTATGAACAGGCATTTGGTACCCTGCTTGTCTAAGTAATAATGTACAGAGGAGAAACTTCATGGCATGAAGAGGACATTAGTAACTACACTCAGTAGAGCATCTGCAGATATAGTGCTAGTTCTGCAACAACCAATTTACCAGCCTGGTAATATTGGGAATGTTATTTAAGCCTTGTGGGTCTCAATTATTCATCCATAAAATAGAAGTATAAAATAAGTTATAGGAAGTCATAGCACAGTCCTGGAACATCGCAAGAGTTTGTTTTTGTTGTTGTGAAGTGCTGTCAAGTCAACAAATAAATCAAATGCCCAAATCATTATTAATTGAAATAAACAAGTCAAGAAATAAATCAGTATTATGTCAGAAATATATCAACACTTTTTCTAGTTGATTAATTTTTCCTTTTGAAAAAATACATCACTTTTGTGCTAGGAAATTTCCATTTGTAAATTCAAAACTATAACTTCTTTCCTTCCTTATCCATCTCAACTATCATCTATTTCAGAAAACTACTTTTTGTTTATCTCCTATTTCATCT